AGCCACGAGCATGCACGCGCAATTGCAACCCTGGCAATCGAACACAACTCGGGTGTGTTGGTGTCGCAGAAATAAATGCTCGCTGTGATGAGAGGGAGCGGCTCAGGAATGTTCGATTGATTGGCAGACTGGCTGCTGGCTGCTGGCTGCTGGCGCTGTGGTGTGTTGCTTGGGTGGTTGGTTGTATGATTGTTTGCAGCCGTGATTGTTTGCAGAAGATGCGGGTAGGGTGTGTTGCGCGATTGTTTCGGTCGCTGGGTCTGCGAGCATGAATGCGAAAGCGCGTGCGTGGTTGTGTTTATGTTCGCGTGTTTGTGTTTCAATGGTGTGTGTGAGAGAGTGAGTGTGAGAGAGAAGTTGGGGTGTGTGGATGCAGCAGGAGCAATGCGCGCTGCGCGATGGCGCGTGTGTGTGTGTGTGTGTGCGTGCGTGTGTGCGTGTGTGTGAATTGCGCTACACATACACAAATGCACACCCACCTACACATCCACAAAAGCTACACACACACACACACCTACACACATACATGCATCGTTCCACACACTCACTCACCACCAGGCTGCTCTCGAGGGTGGTGCCGTTATTATGTGTAGCGTTTGGATTGGTCTGAATGAGAATGAACATCGATGCTGCGGTGAATGAATGATGACGCGACGGCATGCATGGCGGGCACCACCGCAGCCATTGGTGGCCAGCCTCTGCAAAAGCAAGCGTGGAGCAGCAGATGGTGCTTTGTTTGTGCTTTGTGCTTTGTTTGTGTGTCCGCCGCACCCGTCGCCACTGGTGGCGTTCAATGGACCAATCACAGCGCACGATTGCCCGGGTGAGAATAAAAAAAAACAGCAACTGACCAATCACAACACACTATACATCGCCGTTTCGTTCGCCACCCGCGTCCACTCGTCATCGGTACTTTTCGCATGCAATCTATTTATGGTGTCTGGCGAGTGCACCATCGTGCATCGAATCAGTAGAGCCAGGTTGTTATTTATTTTGTGCAGCAGCAGCAGAATCCACGTGGTGCAAGCAGACAAGCAGAGATATGGAAGCCAGGAAGGAGAAAGGGCTGCACGCGGCCCGGCAGCTGCACGCGGGCGCATCGCTCTTCTCCACACGCATCGCCCTGCAGGTGCGGTGTGGCTGTGTGTGTATGAAGCGTTTTGTGTGTGTTGGTGTGTATGTTGGTGTGTGTATGTGTGTGTTGGTGTGTGTGTGTATGTGTGTGTTGGTGTGTGTGTGTGCTTGTTTGTGAGTGAGCGTTTGTTCTTTGCGCCCGCGCTGCCAGAATTAGTCTTGCAAGTGCACGGCCCTTTTCGTCAGTGACGACGAAACTTACGCACCCCACAACGCACACCCCCACAGAAAGCGGTGGCTCCCATTACAACGCTGACGCCAACCACGACCCTGAAGGAACACGACGAGACACATGCCGAAGAAGCAAAGTCAGCCACTGATGCTTGCGCCTGCCTGTGTGCAGCTGAACATGCTTGTGTTTAGCGGCAAATTTTGTGTGTGCGTGTCTGTGGGCGTGTGTGTGTGCACATGTTAGATGACTCCCCTGCACGTCGCGCTTCCCTTTTGTCCTGTATCTACGTGCGCTTGTGCGCGTGATTTCCGCACCCTCACGTTCGCACACACACACACACACACACACACACACACACACACTCTCTCACACACACACATATCACAGGCACAAGCTGACGCGGCTTGCATGGCACATTGCGCAGCTGCAGCAGGAAATGTTGGATGCGCTTGCACCGAGCAGCGAGGCAGAGAATGACAACAAAAACGAGGAAGATGAGGAGCAAGACAAAAACGACAAGGACGAGGATGAGGATGACGATGCTAATGAAAGTGATGAGGATGAGGATAGGGATGAGGATGAGACGGGCGAGAGGAAGAGCAAGAAGGCGAAGCGGCTCACCACGCCGTTTACGGTCATCGAGGATGAAGACGCACAGCTCGCTGCCATGGAGGCAGCATGCCGGCGACACCACGACAGGTCTGTGCACGTGTGCGTGCATGTGTGTGTGTGTGTGCGTGTCTTAATCTTGTGCACCTGTGTGGGCTTGTTGGTGCAGTGTTGATGTTCCTCACCTTGCGCGCACGATTACGCACACGTGGCAGCTGATGCCCTACATCAGCAAAACCGTGGACAAATGGCACATGAAGACTCGTCTTGCTGGTATGAGCGCCAACACACTGCACGTGCCATGCACACGCCACAGAGCTGCATACCCTG